ATTTGTTGAGTAAATAAAAGAAGTTAAGTCATTCAAGTACCTTTTCTTTTTTTATAATCTCTACACTATTTAAGAGCCACTCTGCCGTATTTAGCACTTCATTATATATTGTTTTTGACTAGTCTCCAATGTTTCCTATCTGCTGTTATTATTAGTTATCTTGAGAACCTCCTTCAAAACCCAAAGCCACTACCCTGGCGCCGATTCTGCCTCCTTGTGGCCGTCTAAGTGTGAGCAGAGCTGCCCCATGCACAACCTTCAATGCTTGAGGACAACACCCCGATGAGTTAGGCCTACGTTAGTATAATAAATGCCAAAATTATTCCCTACACACCTCAACTGAGCACCTCTTACGACCTACTTTTCATTGTTACAGCAATACACCTAACTGCAAGATATTTAGATTAATTCACTGTGCTTCTGTTTCAAATATCCTGTTCCAACCCAAACACCCGCACTTTTATCTGTCCCCATTGTATCGAGAGCAGTTATGAATAAAGCAGTACCATACTTCCCTGCTTACACTTTCTGAAGACCATGCTTCTGTGTATTTCTAAATAGGTCACTGTGAAAACAGAAAGGTTCTTTTCACTGTTATGGTATCAAAAGATCCAACCGTGTAAATGGCTTGGCAGGGTCAGCTCACTTCACAACAGAGGGAAAGACTCAGCAGCCGATGAGATGAGGTCAGACTACACCTTCCAACGGCAAGCCTCCGACCAGTTCTGACACCAGCTGTCTCTCACAGCACTCTGCTTCTCAAGTAGGCTTGGTAATTTGTTGCCATTAGACAGACCCTCCTCATAACTACAAGGCTTACTGGGGAAGTTACCAGGTTATATTCTGCATTGGGAAATGACTCTTCTCTCCAGTCGGTACTCTTCTCTCGCTTAGGTACACAGGTGGGTCTTTCTATGGCACTCAGTCCCCAACCTTCCTTCAGTCTCCTGGGCTGGCCCTGCCCCGTCCCTTCGAAGCTGGTGTTACAAAGCTCACTTGCTCTGCCAATAAATGCCCACGGGCACCCCGCTCCACACATGCACATTCCTTTCTCCCCGTCCCCTTCTTTCTTTCTCTCCATGTCGTCTTTCCATCTTCTCCTGATGCTTCCTGCATCATTCACTATTTCGCCCATTGAATCTTTCAATATTGCAACTCAGGGTTTAAACTTTTCCTTCAGCTACTTTAGCTTGAGATGTGCTGTGTGTTCATCCTTCTGTGGTTTACTAGCTCCGGGTCTTTGCACGTTTCACTATAATGCTTTGCTTCGTCAGTCGTCGTCTGTCTGTCTATCTTCTTGAGCTGCCTTTGGAAATGTTGTTTGGCTCTTTGACTTCCCTCCTTCCCTTTGCTTTAGCTACACTCATACAAGAGCGAGTTTGAGTGTCCTCGGACATTCACTTTGGTCTTTTCTTTCTTTCCTACCTTTCGATTACTTTTTTGCTTTCTTCATGTATGATGTTCTCTATGTCGATGAACACATCACACCTGTTCTTGAGATGATCTTTATGTTCAGGTGGGATAGACTCGAGATCATATTTTGGCCCTTACGGACTCATTCATTTCTTCAGCTTCAACTTTGCATACAAACAATGATCCACTGGCAACCCCCACCTCGTTTTTGCTGACGACATTGTTTCTCCCTCACGTCTTTCCACATATGTAGTCCACTGGATTCCTGAGTATTCCATCTGGCGACGTCCCACACGTACAGTAGCTGTGGATGTTGTTGAAATAAAGGTATTTGTAATGAAGAAACCATTGGTTTTGCAACAGGAAGAATTGTAAGCAGAGATATGACACCAAGATTTGTGCATGAGAAAGCAAGCAAGAGAACAGAGTAGAAGGTGGCAAGCTGGAGATAAGCAGCCTGGTGGTACGCAGGCCCATCAAGTCATGGCTCTGACTAATGAAAAATGTGGTACAGAATGAGGGGGGAGGAAGAGTAGAAACCCCCAGGGTTTGTGACTGAGATTCTGCTGGGGAAAGATACATTAGAGAGTACAAAAAATCACAACCTGAGGATGAGAAAGGTGGTAGAAAAAAATAAAACGATCAGCCTATTTTGGATATGATGTGTTTCAGGTGTCTATGGAACAGTCAGGTAGAGATGTACACTGAACAGCTGAGGTGGAAATGGGTCTGGAAAAAAACGAAAAGTGTTTTTCAGTAATCTGAGAGACAGAAATCGATCTTTGGAAGTTAACAGAGTGACTGACGACTGAAAACACGAATAGGATGAAACTGACCAGGGAGAGCACGCAAGCGTGACAAGAGAAAGAGCGCCACCAACCATGTGTGGGCCGCCAGGGGCACAGGAGAATGCCGACAGGGAGGCCAGGGCAGAGGCCAGAGACTGGAGAGAAAAACTAGCTCTAAGCAAAGGGGGCAGATAGATTCAGAATGTACTAACAGCCCAGGTTGGTTGGGGGGGGG